GAGTGACTGAACCTAAGGATATTCCAACCACATCTCTCATGGGTAAACTGCTCTGGACCATACATTCACTGGACCATACATTCACTATCTCTTTGTCCACTTTTTCAAGCCAATCAATGGTGAACTTTTCTGTCTGGCTTGCAAGTTCTTCACGCGCTGCCTCCTCCTGCCATATACTTGCAGGTCTAATACAACGCAAACCTACTGTACTCTGGCTCTGGAGCTCGGAAGTCCATAGTGGGTCTCGCCAGGCTAAAATTCATGTTGGTAACCCTGCATATTTTCCTGGATTTGGGGAGGATCTGGCTCCTTGCCACTTGCCGTATATAGAAGCCAACTGCTTCTTGTACCACCCTCTCTCTCTGCATCTCTCCTTCTTCTTTCTTCCTCTCAAGAAAAGCTTGGAAAACCAAAACCACCTCCCTATGTCAAGGTCAACTAACTAATGACCTTAATTCTGTCTATACCCCTTTGCCTAGTAACTCAACGTTACCTAGTTGCACGTTCTGGGGATCAAGACATGGACATAACTGTAGTCCACCACTGGTTACACTTTATCCACTTTCCTTCCCAAGGAACTTGAGGCTTGGAAGCAATTTTCTTCTCAACTAGGGTGGTAAGAATGGGGATCTCTGGGGGAACCACACCACTTCCCTCTGCAAGTAGGTTTCCCAATGAGTTCTTCATAGCAGACCACCCTCTGGCACTGCCAATTGTCCCTGAGCTAAGGACACCTGTTCTCCGGGTTACTATGTTCATGACACAAATGAACATTTGCACAGCAATCCTGGAGACAAGCCTATAGATGGAAAAGTACTTGTGTCCTGGTTTCAGAAGTCCCGGGTCAATTCTTGATTGCTTAATACTTAACAACGGTGTGACTGTAGCAGGTTATATAATCTGCATAGATCACCTCAGAGCCACCATTTCCTTGACTGTGAACTGGTGATGTTAGAAAGAACTCCTTTCCGAAGACAAGAGGGGGATCAGATGAAGCGGGTTCTGCAGAGCATTTTACAGGCGGTCATTGATCCACACAGCTGGGGGCTGTGGTCATCACGCTACAGCTGTGGTCATCACGCCAGAGTCCCCAGTAGATTGCAGCTACTCCGGATTGACAGGAGAGATCCTGATAAACTATAGCTGTCCCTCCTTGCTTGTTGTACTTGACTTCAATCCTTTATCTGGCAAACTCGCAGCTTAAACATTGTGTCTTCAGGAAAACCTTACCTTTTTTTCCCAGGCAGAGGTCATTAGCTTTTCCCACAGTGCGTTACATAACACTCAGCATGCGTCTTTATTACAGTATTACTCTATAACACATCAGGTGGAGGTGGGTTCTTATACACTAACACCAACACAGATGTAGCCCCTTAAAGGCAGGTACCATGTCTTATACTTTCTATATACAGTACTTGGTTCAGGACCTTGGTTCAGGCAGGGTGATGTTTAAGAAATGTTTGTTGATTTTTTTTTTAAACAAGAATTCTATATAACTACTTAGGATCTTCCAGAATATTAAATACCTAATCCATGGATTTGCCTAAGCATATATCCGTTATTCTATTCTCAGTGTTGCCCTGGAAGTAACATTCTTTGAGGACAGTGTAGAACTAGGCTCCTTGGAGAGTTAGAGTCAGAAAGATTGGCCCGTATCCATTCCCATTCTGGGAAGAGTGCTACTTTCTGGTTCTCAGACCACCATTCACCTGCATCGGCTTAGGATCTTCGCTTCCTTGGTTCAGCAACTAGACCCCACTGAAAAACTCCACTCCAAGCAGAACAGGGCTGAAATCATATTTTCACGGGATGTCAAACCTCCTCTCCTACCTTAAATGAAAGGTATTATTTCTGAGAGGAGAATGTCACACTCCACCACCAAAATTCTGCTTCCTCGGCAGAAAACCCCGGCAGTTTCTCTGCATGGCTGGCAGCTCTCCACCCAAGGCCAATGCTGGGAAATGCACCAGGCCCAACACAAATCACGAGAGCATGGGCCCTTTGTGATTAAGACAAGGAAAGCACACTCCACAAACCGTCGAGGTGCGGAAATGAGTTATGGAGAGGAAATGGGGTCTAGGTACCACGCCGGGAGCCACCACAGGCCCATACTCCTCTAGAGAAATTCACCCATCGCTTGACCAAATAAATCCTCCCCAGCTCAGCAACTTTGGGGCCCTTTCCTGTAATGGACGGCTTCCTCACCTCTTCGTCTTTGGGGTATATAAAAATATATCCTTCCTGGCTGCCAAATAGCTGCCTGGCCTTTGTCTCTGCCTTCTTGCTAGAGACTGTGACCTCCTTCTGATACACTCACATTGCAGCTGCCCTGGGATAAAAAGCTTCTCATGGAGCCGTGGAGGTGGGAATGGAGGCAGGCAGTCACTCCATTTAAAGAAATGGGAGAGCAGCTCCACTTCTTAAATGAGTCAGAGTGTGTTGCTGAGGAGAACAGGTCAGAAAGGGACTTTCTGTCCCTTGGGCTTTTTGTTGTGTCAACTTGGTGTGTGTGGCCTGTGGGCTGATCATACTGTAAGTTCCCCAGAGTCTCCAGAGCACTCATTGCTTGCCCAGCTAGCTGGCAGCTCTCAGTTGAGGGTACTTGGGCCAGATGTCCCCAGCTCAGAAGCATCAGAGTTCTGCTTCTTCTTTCTCCCTGCCAATGTGAAGGGCACCTGCTTCTTGACAGAGATGTGAGCCTGCTCTGGGCATAATCCAGATGATTAGCTCTGGTGTTCTGTGTCTTCTAAGTGCCCTGTGGCTGGGCTCAGGTTCCAACGTGTTCCAGCCTACTGATTTCTGTGTTACAGATTCTGCCACTCTCAGACTAGGCTGCCAGCAGCTTTGCCGACACGATTCAGGTGTTGGCTTCTACGTGGCCTTCAAATTCTCCTGAGAATGCATCCTTACCTCCTCGATGTTTCCCCCACCCTAGTCTCCCAGCCAACCAGGAATGCTGCACCCTTATAAAATACTGACTAGGTTTCCTAGGGAAACCTCTAGAAAACTCCCATTGCCCATGTCCTCCTTATGAAGGACTCTCCGTTCAAGAATCCCCAGCCCTCTCCTCCATCTCCTTTCTGTTGCATGCCCAGGGGCTGTATGCAAACATTTGCTTTGATTTGTAAAATGATCCATATAATTAGGGAAAAGAGTTAAATAAAGGGACTGATTTGAGAGAGCAGGCTCTTAATGACACTAATACCTGACAAAGGGGGTCATTATGATGGGCTAATGGGCCTTGCCTGGCGTTCAGCTCTCTCAGGACACAATCCAACACACTCAATTATCTGCTAATCAGGGCCATTTTGTCAGAGGTTATTGCCCTGAAGTATCAATTATAGGAACATTATTAATACTGGAAGGAGACGCCACTTACATGAAAGTGTTAAACTCCTGGGGCATACCCCTCGCCACTTTGCACCTACCATAGTATGCAGTCTCTTTCTGTTCCCAGTTAGCTCCCAACCTGGGCCTTTCCATGACCCATCGGGTCTACTGGGAAGGAGCCAGGACTGAGATGATGTTCCCAAATCTGTCACCTGTGACCGAGCTGGCAATCCCAACTCTTAATGCCACCAGCTGGCAACAGTGACTTAGCCCAAAGCCAAGGCATTACTGACTCAAGACATGGGAGGGGAGGAGAACCGTGGGCTACAGGAACGAGAAGCGTGAGTATGCATGTGGATTCTGTCTCCCTTCGGTCTCTCTCCTTCTAGCCTGCCCTTCTTCTCCTCTTTCTTTGGTGTGTACCTGCTGTCACACTCTCCCTCCCCTCAGGTCTCCTCCCTCCTCTTTCTGTCTCTCTCTCTCTCTCTCTCTCTCTGCCCACATTTCCTGGTTCTTTTTCTTCCCTTTCCTGCCTTTTTACCAATGTAGCTAAACGGGGAAATAAGAAAGAAAGGGGGCCATGATCTCCCACTCCAGAACACAATATGCCCAAAACACAATCTATGTTGCAGCCCAGAACTCTCTTCGTGCTGGAGCTTTCGTCTACCGTAAGGAGGAAATAGCAGCTACTGATAGTGAAGGGACACGGCTGAAACGGAAAGGCAGGGCCGGTTAGAACAGGAAACACGAAAGGGGTTTTGAATCAAATCGACCCTGATTGCAGTCTTTGTGCCACCAGTCACTGGCAGCAAGATCTCAGGTAAGTCGGTTAACCTCTCTCAGCCTCCATGGAAACAGGATATCTGGGGCAGGGTTAGACAACAGAATGACAGTTTCATGAGACACGTTAGAATAAGGAGGTATTCAGCCTCCTTGAAACTCGGTTTTTCACATGCAGGCTACAGTCAGCCTTATCCATATGGGAAAGCCACGATGAAGACAAACGAGAACCTTCAGGTAGGCGTGACCACGAGATAGATGCCATTCGCAGAATGATTAGTAACTTTGAGGTAGCCTCTGAGGGGAAAGAAACAGCTAAGTAACAAACCTAAATGCTTGGAGGACACAGAATCTCTCTGTCCCTCTAGACAGCTACTAACAGAAGAGAGAGATAAAGAGAGGGATAGTGGGCTCCTGAGTCCACCAGGGCATCATGGGAAGGTGCAGGTAGTTTGGGAGAAGCTGCTTCTTGGAGGTAGATGGAATTCTCACCCCTCCATGGCCCCCGCAGGCATGGACTTTCCCATTGCCTTCAGGGCAACCAAAAAAAGAAGTCACCGAAGTCACCGATGTGGGAGTTTCCAGGAGTCTGATCTTAGAGATAGATCTCACAAGGAAAAGTTCAGTAAAGAGAGGGAGGCATTCTCATGACCAACCACTGGTCTGTCTCATCCTTGTGGAGAGACGCTCTGGCTTAGAAAACAAACAAACAAATAACAACAGCAACCGAAATGTAAAGCATGACTCTGACAATACACTCATCAACGGGTGTTGAGCGCGTCCTAAGATCTAAGCAATAAGATCCTTCATTGTGAAAACAGAGCGAAGGACAGATCTGTTCTGCAGGAGTTTGGTCTGTGTGGTAATCCTGGTGTCTACCTAAACAGAACTAGAGCCGTCTGGGAACCCTGGTCACCAAAGTGTGCACTGTTCAATCAGGGGGAATGAGCCTAAGGGAAGACATGGCATAAAGACAGGTGTCAGAAGAAACTATCCAAGTGACAGCCCAGCAGAATCCGAAAGCAAAGAAATGGATTTCAGCAAAACTATAAAGTTCCAGCCGGGAGTCTTACCGTAAAAGTAGCATAAAAGGAAGAAAGAGAAACCACAAACGCTTCCCTGAACATCAAAAAAACCAGCAAATTGGAGGTATTTACTTGACTTTAGCAGAATCCAGCCCACCGAAGGATGACTGATGTTCTGTCCTGTAGTTCACCCAGCACAGCAAAAGAGGGGCTGTCACTTACATGCACAGTGACAGAGCCAGGCCTTGATGATAAGAAGTGCTGGTTGAAGGGCTGAAGGCACTTCAAGTCCACCCTATGACCCTTGATCATGGCTTATGAATGTGCTGTTTGGTGAACCTGGGTAATTAGTGTTTGGGTTAAGCAGTTACAGGGTTAAGTGCTACCAGGGGTTTGATCTGGGCTGACAGAGCCTGAGCTACAGAGTGGGGTGGTTGCCTAGCAACAACACCTGTAGCACATTAAGCAGCCAGTCAGCTTTGTCAACTTCTAGCAAGGGCTTTGTACAGCAGAAGATAGGGGTGGGGGCAAGTTGATAGGACACGGGGGTGGAAAGCTGGCCAGAGGAGAGAAGGGGCTCAGGATGGTGTTGGGGTATCAAGAAATTTCTGAGTCCTTCTGGAATGGCTCTGTGTCATTTGTCTCTAGCAAGAGAAAGGGAGGCACACTCAGGTGTAGGTCCAGGTAGGTGCCCTCACCCAAGCAAGGATCTTGGTATTGCCCTCACCCCCTCCTAAACCCCTAAAACACCCACTCCCTCTCCTGGGGTGCTCTCCCATACACTTCCCTCCAAGTTTGATCACTGGGGAGGGGCCTGAAGGAAAAATGTTCTCGTTTTGTTTGCAGATTTGAGAGAATCAGAAGGAAAAGAACAAAAGCAGACACCCCAGGAGGGGAAAACTCTGTCCCCGCCCTCCCGTGGTGCTTTTCCCACTTGAGCTTTTGGACATCATCCTGAGTATACCTGAGACATGGCTAGAAAGAAAAAGAAAAAAAAAAGACAAAGAGCTGGGGATGGGTGGGGTCCCAACAATACCATCGCTACCGCCTTTATGGAATTCATGGTCTAGTGAGCCCCTGACTTTTGCCAGCATTCCCAAACTGCCTCGGCTCAAGGTGAAGCTATCTAAATAGTACCTGAATAAACAGAAGGCTTGGGTCAACTCCATGAAGCCTTTGGCCATACCCGTCCTGAGACACAATGCTTTTACCTATATGGTGGGGGGTAATTACAAACTGACCCACTTCACTGATGAGGAGGAAAAGAAAGTTATTTTTAAAAAGCCTTTATAAATGCTATAAGTACTACTACATGGGGGCTGTACGTGTATTACAAAGACGGTATGCATAAATCTGTTCTTTTGGAATCATCTGAGCTGTTTGTTATTTGGCTCCACACGCTGGAGAGAGGAGCACCCACGTGTTACGTTGCCGGGTAACTTGGTGAGGCGGATAGCACTGAAAGGGGCCTATTCATTGATTCTAGGCTAGGTTCACTGGTTCAAAACCAGCCCTGGGCCAACAATTACTGTAATCACTGGGTTTGGAACTCAGAGAGACTGACTTTCAGGAGACCTTCCACTCATCTATGACCCACTGAGTTTACAGCTTAAACTTATGCTTGTGGTTACAAGGGAAGCCGAGGGGGCTGTGGCGTGAGCTGAAGCCACAGTCCACATATCTGCCTCCCTCTCTTGCACAGGTCAGTGCATACTCCTTCTCGACCATCTTTAAAAGCAATCTAGTGACTGAGGGGTGATGCTGTTTGCTCTCTGAGCTGGGAAATAGGTGTCGGCATCTCTGGCCATATCTGACACTGTGCCTGCTACCCCAGCCTCCCTTTCACAGCTGAGAAAGAAAGCGAATCTCCTCTTACCATTCCACATCTAAGACAGTTCCTCCTCCCCCACAGAAGTCAAACCACATCTGATTAGGACAAAGATATATATAGAGAGAGAAACCAGCAGACTTCATACCCTAGTCAGAGAAGCAACTCGCCAGTACAGCATGCCCCAAGACTTCTGTGTGATTTGTGGATTTTCTATGTGGCTGTGGGGTCTGAGGGTGCCCTGCCACACCCAAGGTGGCACATCAGGGTGTGCATGTGTCTGCCCGTCGCTCGCTCCGTGGCTTCTCTGCTCCGTGTGTTGTGCTGTTATTTTCATGCTTGGGGTTATATTTAACTCAAGTCATAATATTTGGGGGTTTGGAAGCCTGCTGTTTCACCAAGAAAGGCATTTGAATATCCTCAGTTCCAGAGAATTCCAAGGGCTCCGAGAAGAGAGTGAGGCGCTTGCCCCAGATTTGTCTGACACATCGTGGTCACGTGGACTCCATTAGCGGATGACTGAGGCGTTGAGCAGGCAGCCTAAAGGAATGTTGTAGAAAGGCTGAAGAGAAGCCCTGAGTGTTGTCAGGAGGAGGCTGATGCCTCCGGGTGTCTCAGGGCACTCACCCCACACATCCCCACAGGGAGGGGAGCTCTAATTGGCAATATCACCCGCCTAGTCACCGCCCTGCCTCTTACACATCATGCCAGTGTAAGGGGGACACAGAACTAGAATCCCATGTGACACAAGGAAAGGCATACCTCAGCTTATCCTGCCTCTGTCAAGCATGCAAATTGAGCCCTTGCCTGTCACTAGGAGTAGCCATTTTCCCCAAAGATACTCCGGCAAGGTTAGCATTAGGGAAAACATGGGTTGTGCAGGGAGAGCGGGAAAGAGGATAATATGACATGATTCTCTCTGCTGTGTCATCCTTGATGACAGGTGGGTCCACCTGGATGCAGATGCTGTAGATGTCCTGTAGGCTCCTCAGTTCTGAGCCTTGACACTATCTGGGAAATCTTTCTGGGCTTACTTTGGAGTACACTCTCCTGGGTCGGGGAAGGTTTGAGAACATTCCAGAATATGTTGAGGTGGGACTGAGGAGGGATTGATGGGTAGATGAAGAATAAGAACAGACAGGGTTGCTACATATCTTCATTTGTTTGAGACTGGATATCAACATGTAGCCCAGGCTAGCCTGAAACTGGTTCAGGTTCCTGCTTCTGTCTCCAAAATGACAAAATTATACATGTGTGCCACCACATCTGTCTCAACCAAATCTTTCTGTGTTAAAGGAGAGAAGGGATGGAATAGCCAACACTGTCTGAACCCTTCACCAGCAAGGATAGCTGGGACATAAAGGATCTTCCCAAAGAATAGGTCCTACTGACAACATGAAGGCTCAGCCAGGTGGAGGGGCCTGGGAGGAGGAGAGGTGGGGTAGTCCTGTCCCAAGTCCTCATTGAACGTCCCCAGCCAAGCACTATCACCAGGATTTGCTTCACGTTCATGGGAACTGACATATGGTATAATTTTTTTTTAAAAACTTCCAAGTTCCCTAGGCAGCTTTGACGTGAATATTAATACTAACATAATTTCATGATGATTAGAGAACACAATTAGGGGCTATTAATAATGACACAAATAATGACATTTAAGGCCTCATTTTAATTTGAGTAATATTCTGTCTGGTGGTATTTAAACAGCTCTGTCTAGCACAATTAGTACAGGGCTGGGGTGCATTCACTGTTCATAGAATCGACCAGTCCCACCTCACCAACTCACCTCCATGCCAAGAGAGAAATGTGGAGGCCAGTGACACATTTCTAAGAAGCACCCAGAGAACACCTTCTGCCATAGATGCTTCTTGACCCTACAAACAGTTGTCCTGGGCAGAAATTTGGGTATGGACTTTAAGAGTCCACAGTGCCAAACACTGTGGTGTCTAGAGCTCACTAGCTAGGAAGAGGTGCCATCTTTCCATCTACATCTTCCCAAGAGGAATGGTTCTTGGCTGCCAGCTTGATTGCAGTGAGAGACCCCTAGGAGATGGGGAAAACATACGTCCTAGAGTATCTGAGGAAGTGTTGCTAGAGATGATTGACATGTGGAACAAAAGAGAGGAAGATTTGCCCTGAGTGGACAGCACCAAATAACACACCAGGGGCTCAATGTATTGCAGCAGAAGCCCACCGTCAAAAGCTCACTCCCCATGGCCTCTTTCTGTCCACAGTGAGGTGAATGTCCTCCTCTGCTAGATGCTGTTCCTACACAGTGTTCTTCCTCGACATTCACACACGGGCTAAGAAACAATGGCGCCAACCGACTGCCCCGACACCTCTAAAACCAAGAGAGGAAATCAATGGTTCTTTCTATAACTTGTTTTTCTTGTGTATCTTTGCAAAGAGGAAAAACAAGTGAACTCATCATCTAAGAAGAAAAGTGGTCCCAGTTCTTAGAGAACTCCTACTGGATGTAGAACCTGGCTCCCTAACAAGTCTCATATGCTTGTACTTTCTCCGTCCGTAGCTTTCTTATGTGTCTATCAGAGCACACCACCCATCATCCTACTCTAACGACCCATTAACATTCCCACAGGTTCCAGGTACACTGTTGGCTCCCAATAAATGCTTGCCTAGTTCCCTAATGGCTAAACTATGGTGATAGTGAGAGCCCTCCACCTCTTAGGTGCTGCTGAATTTGGTATTCTACAATAGTACCACACCTCAACTCTCTGCAACTTCTGGATATTTACAGTCAATAACAAACATCTTAGAAATGGCTGAGGCAGATAGGGTGCACTAAAGCAGTTGGGGTGCACAAGGAGGGGCCATCTGGGAAGTGTGAAAACAGCTTTTAAGCAGAAGTCTATGGCTCTTAGGACCCAAAAGAACCCAAGGTCACTAACCTATGAATTAACGAGTAGGGGAAACAAACTTTATTTCCTTGGTGTGATTTGCAAATGTAGAATACATTTGGCAAGGAATAGTAGGTATGACTGGAGTAGATGCTAGATTTTCAACCAATTCTAGTATCTAAAAGGCAGAAACCACAAACGTCCTGATGAAGACAGACTGGATAAAGGAGAAAGCCAGAGGATGAAAGGAAGAGAAGAGAGCAAAGGAGAAGCCCGGCTGCTGAACACTGATCAGGTGCCAGGCACGTGCATTGCTGAACACCCACCATCTTCTTTGATCTTTGCAATAATCCTTAGAGCTGTGTACTGTTGTGATTCTCATCTCACTATTAGTGAAACTCCAGAACAAAGAGCCTAAAGTCACATGCTTGGCCACACAGTGCTATGTGGCTACAAGTCTCACTTCTGTCTGACTCCAAAGCCCAAGACTGTCACCATACACAGCCCTGAGTGGGGGAGGGGTAACTGAGAAGGATTAGGACCATGTTAGCATGGTTGTGCCATGAGAGGAGGTTGGCTGTCTCCCAAGGTACATCATAGAAGAGGCAACCTGTTGATGTCCCCTCCCACCTAAGGATCCTGTCGTTGGGCCTGCAGGGGAAAAATGGAAAGCCACTGGCCAAGGGCCAGCACTGGGAGCTCCAAAGCTGATGAGGGCTGGAGGCTGGCCCCCTGGAACGGGTGGCATTGGACATGCCCAAAGACAGGGTTGGCAGGCAGCCAACTGCAGCACTGGCTGACGGGCTTTGGCAGAGACCAGTGAGACTGTGGAGGACAGGGCAGGGCCTGAGAGCTTCAGGGGACGTTAAGTGGAACCCTTTCTGGGTAATTGACTCTGTCTTCCCGTAGGACCCCTGCCAAGCCCAGGCAGGCCCAGCTTGACACGCTACAACCTGTCTGGAGTCTGCTTTGCAGACACAGAGAGCCTGGTTTACAGCAGGCTGGTAATTTTGTTCTAAGACTCATCCCTTAGGTTGCAAGGCTCCCTTTGTCTGAATCCCTAATGTGTATTAACTCAGGGAACCATCTGAGTCCTCACCCACCCACGTAGCGACGTTGGCTGCAGCAATGGAGCCAGCAAACAGAGCGGCAGTGAATAGAGTATACATGGAATACCTAGTCTCCCATAGGGATGGGGAGTCCCAAGGGCACTGGGTCCCCAATCCAAAAACTTTTATGGTAATAGGACCCATAACAACCCCAGAACTTACTATATTCTTTGATCAAAACATGACCCTTGTTTTCTTCAGAGTGCCTCTGTCCTTCAAATCTTTCCCTCCGCCTACCCTTCCCTTCCACCCAGCCCACCTCAGAGCAACAAAAGGACACATTAGTTGCTGAGATGGGGGACCTAAGGATCTAATAACTTGACCATTTGAGAACCATCTATGAAGTCATGCAGGGGGCTCAGGAGGGG